CCCCCTTAGTTAAGATGGTAAGTGGAGAGTATCTCTGCAGGTTGGCCTCTCCTCCTTCTGGCCTTCTGGCTATTGGGAGATTTGCAAAGACCAGGAAATTTAAAGTCCATTTGCATGGACTTTTGCATGCATTTCCCTAAGGCTGCATCCACACTGTAGAAAAAGTGCAGATTGACATAGGATTTTGCATGGACTTTTGTATGAAAGTCACCAAGGCTGCATCCACACTGCAGAAAATAATCCAGGTTGACATAGGAGAACAAAAGGAAACCCATTGCTTTCCAATTCAAACCTGTCAAGGAAGCCTTCAAGTATGTGAAGTCGTAGGCTTTCAAGTATGTCTGTAGCTGCTAAGCCTGCATCTGCACTGCAGAATTAATGCATTTTGACACTGGTTTAACTGCCATGGCTCCATTCTTTCATGAAATTTAAAGTCCATGTATATTTGCATTTACAGTAGTTTATCTTGTTTTAAAAAATATTTTTTCAACTGATACAATATACAAAATAATAGCATTCAAATGTAGCCATAGAACATAATTTTCCAAATATATACACATTTACAATTTGACTTCCCATGTCAGGTCCCCAGTTTTTATAAACCTTTATCACTTAAATCTCATTGTTTTCAGTACAAGTGTAATACAGTATTTTACCTATTCTTCTCTGTGTTAAACCAACCAACTTAATTTGCTTTGATCGCTTTAAGGCTGCATCCACACTGCAGAAACAATCCGGTTTGACACTGCTCTAACTGCCCTGGCTCAGTTCTAGGGAATTCTAGGAACTGTACTTTGTTGTGGCACCAGAGGAGAGCTTTTGGACACTTAAAGTGTCAAAGAAGCCTTAAAATGATCAAAACAAATTAAGTTGGTTGGTTTTAATACAGAGAAGAATTGGTAAAATATTACCCTTGTACTGAAGACAATGATATTTAAGTGATAAAAGTTTATGCAAAGTTTAACTGCCATGGCTCCATCCTGTGGGAACCTGGGATCTATAGTTTGTGGTGGCATTAGGACTCTCTGACAGGGAACGCTAAATGTCTCACAAAATGACAGTTCCCAGAATTCCATAGCATTGAGCCAGGGCAGTTGAAGCGGCGTCAACATGGATTATTTCAGCAGTGCGGATGCAGTCTTAAAACCCCATTGATACCAGAGTGGTAGGGGAACAAAAGGAAATCCAATGTTTTCAAATTCAAACCTCTCAAGGAAGCTCTTTAAGGATGTCTGTAGCTGCTAAGGCTGCATCTGCACTGCAAAATTAATGCACTTTGACACTGGTTGAACTGCCACGGTGCCTTACTATGGGGTTCTGGGATCTGCAGTTTCTTGTGCCATCAGAGCTCTCTGACAGAGAAGATTAAATATATCACCAAACAACAAATCCCAGAATTCCATAGCATTGAGCCATGGCAGTTAAAGTAGTGTCAACCTGGTTCATTTTTGCAGTGTTGTTGCAGCCTTAATGAATCTTTAGTACTGCAATATTTAGCACTCTAACTTACATAAAAGAGTTTTTCTTCTAAAAGAATGATTTATTAGCACTTACTCCAGATAATGTAAATCTTCCATTGAGCCATGGCCATTAAAGCGGTGTCAAACTGCATTATTTCTGCAGTGCAGATGCAGCCTCCTTCATGTGCTAACAGTATTATCCTATGCAGCTCTACTCTGATGACAGTCCTTCTGACTTCAGTCGGACTTCTTTCAGTGTAAGTGTGTGCAGGATTTCAGTTTAAACAAATCACTTAAATAGCTATTCCACCAAGAGCATCTGTTTCTATATAACAAAAATGGATAAATGTGGTGTCTAAGGTGTTTAGAAATAGGAAGTACACTTGCCAGCCGAAAGAATGCTTGCTGAAATCAAAACAATGAAAGTCATGCACTAATGTCACATGGAATTGTTGCATTCGGTACAACCTTTCAGTATGTATAACCTATATATACACCGGTGTGGCATAGTGGTTTGAGCATTAGGCTATGACTCTAGAGATCAGGGTTCAATTCCTCTCTCCATCGTGGAAACTCACTGGGTGACCTTGGGTGAGTCACACACTCTCAGCCCCAGAAAACCCTGTGATAAATTCGTCCTTATTTTATTTATCTATTTCAAGGATTTCTATCTTGCCTTTCTCCCACAGGATTCAAGGTGGGTTGCCATATGTCAGAAATGACTTGAAGGCCCAAGTCAAGACCTCAAAACCAATCAAACATGCTCTCAGGTGATAAGAAATTTGTGTCGACTTCATTTTGTCGTATCACTTGAAAGCTTAATATTTTGATTGATTGGATCAATCCATCTGTAATGTATATACAGTTGGCCCTCCACATTTGTGGCTTTGATTTTTGCGGCTTTGATTATTTGCGGTTTTGATTCACGTGTTCTCTCTAGAAATCTCTAGGTCATCCAGTGCAACTTCTGTCAGATGTTGACCATAGAGATGTGCTGAAGAACCTAGAAGTTCCTAGAGGAAACATTACCCTAGGCATTGCAACATGATTCTGTGATCAACCTCTGGCAGATGTTGACCATAAAGTTGGACTGGAGGACCTGGAGATTCATAGAGAGGTGTTCTCTTGGGTAAAAAGCATAGTGTTTTTTATTTGCAGTTTTTCCACATCCATGGGGGTCCTTCACCCCTAACCCCAGCGCATGTGGGGGGACTACTGTACAGTCAAGTTAGCCGATACCTGAACAGGGTGGATGGAAGTGGCTCTTTCATTGGGTTGCCATACATCAAAGTTGATTTGATGACAAATAACAGGAAATATATTTAGAAATCTGTAAAGAGAAGACCAAATCATTATGTGACACTAAATATAGAACAGCTGAAGCAAAAAGAGATTACAAACAACTCCAAAAGGATCTCTCCAAACTGGAAAATTAATATTAAAATAGCAAATGAAATTCAGTTAAATGTAAAGAAGTGTAAAATGTTGTGAATCCCAGCTTCACGCACAAATGCATATGCATGCACATGGACACACACATAAAATTGATCTGAACTGGCACTACTGACCAATAAATTTATTTATTTGAAGTGTATATATCTTGCCACAAGGCTTCCCAGAACAGCTGCAGCTAGCATGATGAAAAAGTCAACCCAAGATGTGACTTTATAAAGGCATGCTAGGGCAGCATTAGGAAAGGAACGTTAAAAAATTGACTATATCGTACTATCCTTATACCAATCTATGGTCCAAAACACACTGCAGAAATAATCCAGTTTCAGACTGCTTTAACTGCCCTGGCTCAATGCTAGAGATTTCTGGGAACTGTAGTTTTGTGAGACATTTAGCCTTTTCCATCAGAGCTCTGGTGACAATAAACTACAGTTCCCAGGATTCCCTATCACTGAACCAGGGTAGTTGAAGTAGTCTCAAAACTGGATGATTTCTGCAGTGTGTTTTGGACCTCAATTTCTGAGTACATTTCATGTCACCATACCTAGAAGGAAAAGATATCAGAGAGGTGAGAAAAGGACAGGTAAATTGATTGAAGAGCTGGAGAAATTCCTCTGTGGGAATTTGGGGCAGATTAGTGTAGCAAAGGAGAGTAATGCAAGCCAGCCAGGGGTGGGGGAAAGTGAACTGTTTTTGTAGCCAAGCTCAATTTGTTTAATTCTTTCCCCCATTCCTTAAGGGTATCCTTGCTGCCCCTTTTGCATTGGCTACAGATTCCAAAGCAATAGTGGTTCACTGTGAGTGTATGACTGTCTTAGCAGTATGAACAAAGAATTCTTTGGTCAAAATCTGATAACAGCTCAATTGCACTAAAAGTAATGTACCATTTTCATGATTTTTCTAAAAATCATGTAAAGTTGAAATACAGTATATTAATGCTAGGCTGATGAGTACAATCTTACCTCAATTTCTAGACATGAAGCAATCAGAAATCAAGAAATGACAAAGGTGCATCTCACTGTTAAATCTGTCTCAGTGAATGGTACTTTTCCCCTCTTCTGACGAGAATTAATAACATCATGAGTTACTCTGGGTATATACTGAGAGCAGATATTTAAGAATAATACCTCATTCTCTGTGTGCATCAAAGCAAAATCATCAACAAATTTGGTAGTAGTCCACTATTTGTTTTCATTTTTCTGTCTGTTGTATTCCTTATGCTTTTTCGGTGTTTTTGTGTGTCTTCCAACTTATGGTCACCCTACAGGATTTTTATTACCATTTATTAAGTGCTGTCATTTATTAAGATACTTGAGACCCAAGTATCTACATATCTGTTTTTGTATGGCATGCATTTTTTTCCAGCACAGCAGCTCTGAAGAGACTTTTGGGATATGCATTGTTCCTGAGACCTTCTACTTGTTCTGGAAAAATCTGTGCTGAATTTACTTGTCTCCTATTTTAGTTGAATTTATACACAAATGAAACAATTCTTAAACTCTTTTTTAACAACACGAAGTGAGCAGAAGCCACATCCTGTTCAGTTTCTGTTTCAAAAAAGAACTCTCCAAAAGATTGGTTCAGGGAGGCCCAAAATGGGTGGAAATGCCCCCCATGACAACTAGAACGTATGAGGATGTTTCTATTTTATTTTTTCATTTCACCAAAATGATGTTTAACATGGGGGGGGGGCTCCAAACATAATTGGAATGCCTTCCACACTCCTTAGAGGTCATTTTGGGCCATTTGGAAGCAATATATATATATATATATATATATATATATATATATATATATATATATATATATATATATATATATATATATATATATATAGCCCCTGTAGCATTTTGGGCCATTTGGAAGCAATATATATATTTGGCCCCTGTAGCATCCTAGGAGTTGCATGGTTTGCATATCCCCGTACCAAGGGGAGGTCTTTAACCTAAACAGAATGATACTGGTACAGCATACTGAGTTTTCCGGTAAAAATTACTGTACTTTCCCACCTGTTGCCTATATGTATGTGTGCATTTTGGGTAAGCAAGGTCCTCTAACTTGACATTTGTTTTCCAGTATGTCTTGTCTGTCCTGAAATTCACCTACCCTACCCTTTTCCAAGGGTAAGTACAATTTCAAAACTATTCTTTAAAAAAAAAGAGTCTTAATCAGTAGATTACTTTTAGCATTACATATAACTTCCATTTTTTCACGTAAATATAGTTTTATATTTTGCTTTGCTACATGCTTCCTACTTCTGCTTTCACCACTCTCTTCTTGTGTGTCCCAAACTGCTGTTCTATATGCATATATCTTCCCCCAGCCTCCTCTCTAGCTAAGGGGAAATTTTCTGACAGCCTGCACATTAAACCAAGAATCTAAATCTAATTACATTAGTCCAATGTAGAGTAAATTAATTGAATTATTTGCTGGATGGTTAGTCAGCACTTATATAAATCTCACTGATTCTATTTTTGTTAAGACTGGACATTGGATTTTAACCAAGGACTCCAAATTTTGTTCAATCCTGTTGAAGGAACATTAATCAGCTCTTCAGAATCACTGTCAAGCAATTACAAAAGAAGCTTATTGAGTTCTTGCTATTGTAGATTGTGATTTCAAGAAGGTACCCACCTGGAATCCCGTTGTAGGAGAAAAATGGGATATAAATCTGTGAAATAAATAAATAGAAATTGTCAATTAGTTCCTATAATCAAGGAAGACTAGTTTCAGCTTTCTTAATATGTAGCAGTATTAAATACGTATATCTGCCTAAATATCCTAAAAGATATCAGATCCCATCTGATGTTGGAAGCTAAGCATGGTCAACCCTGGCTAGTATTTGGATGGGAGACTTGCAAAGGTGCTGTAGGCTATATTTCACAGAAAGGAACGGGCAAAACCACTTCTGAGTATTCCTTGCCTAAGAAAACCCTATAAAATTCATGAGATCAACATGTCAACAGGTGACTTTGAAGGCACATACACGCATCTTTCACAGAACTTGGAAAAGGTTATATAGGTCCCAGAATTCTCCAGGCAGCAAGCTATGATCTTTCATAATTGGCACATGTGGTTTTTCCTTTTTAGACAGTGAAGAGTTTTAATAAATGCAAATACAGTAGTCCATCTTTATCTGCTGTTTTGCTCTCTGTGGTTTCAGTTACCTGCAGTCAGTTGTGGTCCCAAAAAATTATAAGGTTTGGTATTCTCTGCAGTTTCAGGCATCCATTGGGGGTCTTGGAACATATCCCTCACAGATAAGGATGGACTGCTGTCATTTGCATGTCCAGTTGGCCCTCTGCATTCATGGATTCAATCATCCATGGCTTGAATTTTTTTTTAATTCCAAAAAACAAACCTTGATTTTGCCATTTCATAAAAGGGACACTATTTTACTATTTTACTATATAATAGGACTTGAGCATCAGTGGATTTTGATATCCACAGGGAGTCCTGAAACCTTGCTGCATTGATGTGTGTGCAGCCCAAATGTTCATTGTGAGGGTTTTTTCTTACCCTCAAATAGCAGACCAATCCATAGTACACTGTGGGATCTCCCACAAAACTAAGTAGTTCAGTGAGAATTAAAGGTATTGCTAGGGGTGTGAGTGCACTGAGATGTCCAACTGGTTTATGAAGGCTATTTTAATTGTTCTGAAAAAAAAGTTCTTTTTATAGATTAAAAATGGCTGTGGTGAGAGGGCAGGCAATGAATGAGATATTAGGAAAGTAGAGGTCCGAGAACCTTCCTCAGATTAAAAGAGTGCTGGCTTCCAAGAACATTTAGCTGGTGGCTGTGGGTCACAGGCTGCTAGACTAGATGGGCCTTTCCTCTGATTCAGTAGGGACTTGTGTTTTCATTTTAACTGATGCATTCATACCTGCCAGGTACAACCTTGAGCTTACAAATAATTAATTTGATAATCCCTGCCTTTAGCCTTGCAGTCTAAATAAGATATGTCCCACAAGGAAAAGGGAGACGACAAGAAAGAGATGGAAATTAATCAGCTGCTAAGTTCCAGCACAATGGGATTGCATTCCTGGTTGCTCTTCCTCCGCTGTGGTCTTAACCAGGGGTAGGCAACCTAAGGCCCGGGGGCTGGATGCGGCCC